GAGTAAATTCGCTCTATGATCTCCCCTACCTTGCGTCCTTGTGTTATGAACTTCTCTAGGTTGTTCCCTATGCAAATTGGCAGGCAATGTGTTTTGCTTCTCCATCCACGCCTCTTGCCTATTCATTCTATTTCCTGTATCACTAAACAACCTTTTAAATTATTGTATCACCTCATCTATCATGATGACTTGACTATTCTTCCCACTCAAAGTAGAATCGTTTTTGTCAAATATCCTAAATCTAATTTAATATTTGTCTCACGTGTGTACATTCCTGTATCACTCAATTTGACTTTTTTCCTTTATTAGTCTCACCACTCTACTTTTTTTTTTTCAGTCAATGCTTTCATGCAAGTGCTTAAAAGAATTAATTCAATCTCAATCAAAATTTAATTATTGTAAAGTTTCAAACAAAAATTTGAGTAAGAAAAATTGACTCTAGAATGACTCGAGAATTAGGAATTGACACTTTGAATGAAATACTAAGGAAAAAAATTTAAGAAGGTGTTCCTTGAATTTGAATTGGACACTTTTGAATTTTAATTTTTTTTTTACTAAAAAAAATAAAATTGTATGATGTTGGCATTTTTTTTTCCGAATTTTGATTTTTTTTGCTCGAAAATTCAACTTAGATACCAACAAAAGAAACAAAAATTAATTTGGATGTTAAATTAGTATAAACAAGTTTTAGAATTTTATGAATTGGAGAAAAAAAAATTGAAGAACGTGAAAAATACGGAGAATGAAAAACAAAGACTCAAACAAAAGAAGAAATTATATAACTTTGATTTTTGGAGCCTTACTCTGATACCAACTGATGCGAACTCACGTAGTAATAGTAATTACGAAACCTACACAAGATTGATTCAAACCTAAGAAAACCAAGAATTAATGTTTAAACTTAATTCCAAAATATTGAATCAAAGAACCACACAATCGTCTACAGTATGTTGACCACTTGACTATATAACTCAAGAATCTCACTCGATTTTTTTGAACGCCATAAGAAATAATCTCGATAAGTTCAGAATTATTTGGATGAAGAACAAGAATAAAGCAATAATGTCTTGAAATAAATCTCTCAAATTGTGTGTTCTTACAATGAATGGATTGAGTTCTATTTATATGGAACTCATAAAATTTAGTTAAATATGGAATTAAGTCTTAAAAGATATATAAAAAAAAAATATATCAAACAAGAATTTTAACTAAAATAGAAGATTGCACGAAATTTGAAAAATTCGCAACTGAATTTATACTATGTGGCCACATAGATCATCTGGATTTCTCCTTTGTGGTCTCGGTAAAGGAGCATGCGATCAAAACAACTATGCGGTTGCATAGTTGTTCCGTCCATTACTTAATCAAGTTGCTCCAATTTATTTCACCTCCTATGCCCAACATGAAACTTGTCCATTTGCTTGTCGTGATCAATGTTTCGTCCACTGTTACTTGAGTAAGTAGTCCAATTGCTTCTTTGTCCCGCTTCGCTCGCGACCTAATTATAGGCCCTTCCTCAACAATCAATGGATCATTTCCCCAACTTGCCCTCGTATCATGGATCACGTTAAGTTCATTGCTTGACGAAAGTCAATTCGTAGGTGGAACATTAGATACCAACAAAAGAAACAAAAATTAATTTGGATGCTAAATTAGTATACAAACAAGTTTTAGAATTTTATGAATTGGAGACAAAAAAATTGAAGAATGCGAAAAACACGAAGAATGAAAAACAAAGACTCAAACAAAAGAAGAAATGATATAACTTTGAATTGGGGCCATGAGCCCGATAACTTTGGTGACCACGATGTGTGCGCCGAAAAGAGCTTTCCGAATTGGAGTCATGAGCTCGATTCCAATAACCGTAGCCAAAGTTATGGCCAAAATACTGAAACGTATCCAAATAGGGCCCCAATTAGGAAATATCGTTGATTACTTGCCATTTTTGCGCTGGTCCACCAACTCATGGTATCTCAGCGCCATCAACAAGCTATCAGTCAACTCGGCATCATCTGACTCGGATCCTCCTGCATCACTTTCAAACAAACAAAATTTCTAGTAAATATATGGAAATGACGAGACAAAAATGTCCCTGACATTTTACTCATTTTGACTTTCAAAATTTCTTTAAACGGAGAAACTAACAGATGTGAACAACAGGGGGTCTTTCGCAACGTTTGGGTAACTTAAAGAGATTTTGCGCTAAACTGAAAGGTTATGGTATATATCCACAAAACAGATAAACGTTAAAAGGTATTGTGCCAATAATCTTTGCACCACATAAATACAATTTTTAACCGCTAAAATTAATAGAGTAAACATTCAAATAATGTTATTAGCACCATTAGTACTACAACATTAGTCTAGTTAGCGCTATGTGATAGACTCAACGAAATGTAAAATTAAATAATTCATTTAATTTTACATCTTATTTAATATCACATTAGTGATACCTACATTGATGTTTCAACACTCAGTTATACTAAATAACATTGGTCCTAAACATTCTAATGACCTACCAGCCGTCGGTCCATTCAAAATCATAACTACATATATAGTTTTAGGATAATACTAGATGTACACTCTTCAAGAAATTGTGGTTGACATCCCTCCTATATGGAAGAAATATATGCAGTAATGTAATAAATGGATTCAAAATCACCGACTTTAATGAATCCATGTGAAAGAGTGTCGATGAAGATGCAAATGAGAGTGTACATATAGCAGGATTGATAATTTTTATATTAAAAATTGTCAAAATTTCACAACTCATTCACTTCTTTGATATATAAAAGAGTAATATTATTCGTAGTGAAAATTACCAATAACCTTCATACGTGGCATACATTATTCTATATAAAATGCTTTGAAACTTGAGTATAAATGTCATTTCGCGACTCCGAAAAATTGAGCAAAGCCAACTACCTTCAACCAACCAATGTTCAAGTACAGACAAGAACACTTAACCTCGATTGCATCAAATTGCAACAAGAAAACAATCTATAATTTTTTATTTCGAAAATTGCATAATTGGTACCCGGTTTATAATCGAAATAGAGAGTTGGTCTCCAAGCTTTACAATGAAGCAGTTGTTCATTATAATTGCAAAAATAGTCCTCCGAGTACAGAAACCATCAAAATTTCTATTAAGTTGTTAGTGACTACAGCATTATGCAAAGAATCTTATTTTTTTTTATAGGGATTTATTGCAAATTGAAAAGATAGACTACCTTATTTATTTTAATCCTTACCTCATGTTGTTCTGATATGTGACAGACACTTATAAATTTATAGAGATGTGCTACTTGTACATTATGGATGTCATAAAGGCATCCATAATGTACAAGTAGATAAATTCAAATTTATAATGCATCTTTTGGCCAAAAAGGAAAAGAAAAAAAGAAAGTAATATGAAGCTATGTTTTTTTTGTTTTTCTCTGGTGAGCTTGTGGTACCAAAAAATTGAAGTAAAGTATATTTTCATGAGAGTTACGTGACAATTTGACGAAAATTAAAAAGTTTCCATTTCGAGAACTAATTATGCAACCATAGTGAAAATAGTAAAATCCATTCTCTACAACGGACAACCTATGCTGTTCAAATTTGTATTATTAGTCGATCACATTCTAACATTTTGAAGCTAAGTTCCGTTTCTCTTCTTGGGTTGATTCCAAAAATATGAATTGATGAATATTTCCGTGACGGTCACATGTCAATCTAACAAAAATTTTAACGATATTTTTTTATCGAGACTTGACTGTGCAACTTTAATGAAATGTTTACGTGGGTATTCTCAACTAAGAATTTTATAGATTTTAAAAGATTATAAATTGTAATGAATTTCATGAATTTGAATAGATTTTCACAAAATTCAAAACAATCTAATTAAAAATGGTGAAATTTGAAAAGAGTTTGTTATATAAATTTTTAATCTTGAAATTCATCCAAATATTTTAAAATCTCTATTAATGAAATCATATAAATCCATGAGCTATTGAGGATAAGGGAGGTGTCCTTAGATTTTGATGGATTTTAATCCTTGTAAATTCAAGTGCTTCCAATTGAAACGTTAGCTTCTGTTAGGTTTGGATTAAAATTCAATTAAAATTTCAAATCAAAATTAACAATTAATTTTAACAACGCATTTTATGATATGCACAACTTTTCTACCATAAATTTCATCAATTTTTATCAAAATCTATTAAAAATTTGATTTTAATCTCTACCAAATAAGGGTATAATGAATTTTATTGACATACATTAAAATTTAGGTGTTCCCAACTGAAATTTTAATGGATTTTAATGAAATTCATTAAAATTTAAATTTGCTCAATAACTCATGGATTTATATAGATTTCATCAATAGAGAGATTTTAAAAGATTTGGATGGATTTCAAGTTTAAATGTACAAATAACTAACTTTTTTTAAATTACACTATTTTTCATGAGATTCTCATGGATTTTGTAAATATATATTCAAATCCACGAAATTCATTAGAATTTATAATCATTTAAATCTATCAAAATCTCAGTTGAGGATACCGGATAAATTTTAATGGATTTCATTAAAATCCATTAAAATCTTGGTTGGAAACACCTAAATTTTACTGGATTTCATTAAAAATTCATTAAAATCTCAATTGGAAATACCTGAATTTAGAAGGAATTTTAAAATATATCAAAATCTCAGTTTGAAGATATCCCTTAAAACTAATTGGCACATATTTTCTGCTCAATCAATAGTCAGAGAACCAGTGTTCAATATTCCTATGTTAATTTTAAGATGTTTTCTATTTATTTACACACAATTCCAATGTTCTGCCATCTACCAAGATATTGTAAATGAATCTATGTTCTCCATTGAAATCTACATGAAAGCCAGAAAATTATGCAATGGCAAATCTCAACCAAATGGAAAATTTGTAACTCATATCGGGAATAGGATTGACTGGCAATTCTGAACGTGCTCAAGTTACAAACTTTCGATCCAGTCCGCTCTAATGACTGCGTCACACAATGGAGTGGTCGTAAAGGCTGTTGCAGCTACAGCAGTTTGCAGTTTGATTATTACTGGATTTTTATTCTATTTTTTCTATAGATTTTCCTTAGCTCGACGGCGTAAGAAGAATAAATTCGAGTCTAGTTTTCGTAGGGAAGATGCACCAGCATTGCCTTGCACAGAATTCATACAACCAGGTGGAGCTGTCAAAGGAGTTATAGTAGATGAAGATGGATTAGATGTTCTGAATTTAAGAAAAGTAGAAGGGGGAGATTTTCCGATCCTTCTTTCTAAGGTTTCGTGTAATAATCATATGAATGAAGAAGATAAGAGAAGAAAATCTCAGTCAATTCAAAAAGCTCCATTGCTTCATTTACGCAGCCATGATTTTGATTCTGTGAAGGAGAAATCAGTGTCTGTTGCCACTTGTAATAGGCCAACCACATCTGAATCATTGGCGGTTGCACAACCACCACACCCTCCACCGCCACCACTCTCCTTCATGGTTTCAGCGAACCAAATTACCCCAGCTACTCCTCCACCACCACCACCACCTTCTTCAGTAAAAGCAAAACCTTCATTACCACCTCGATCGGTTAGATCCGAGTCCGGTTCATTTTCACCCTTGAAGCCACCAATTCCTCCTAAAGGGGAAATCAATAAATATAGCAACGTGGATTCAGACGAAGACTCGAAAGAATGGGGCGAAATTCAAATGAAACTGAAGCCACTACACTGGGATAAGGTTGTTGCCAATGCTGATCATTCAATGGTCTGGGATGAAATCAATGATGGATCTTTCAGGTAAGTACAAGATTTACTGTCGATTTTCTTGGTTGGGAAATTTTCAACACAGAATCTTACTAAACTTATATTGATTCTTTATTCTCCTGGCAGATTTGATGATGAACTCATGGAAAACCTTTTTGGATACACTACAACTACACAGAAATCTACCAATACCGGAGGAAATGGCCTATTCTCAAATTCGGGTAGTTCTAAATCTGCTCCACCAGCACAAATTTTCATCCTTGAACCCCGAAAATCCCAAAACAAGGCAATTATTCTTAAATCTCTCACAGTTTCTTGTAAAGAAATCTTTGAGGCTCTCGTGGAGGGTCGAGAACTCAATCCTGATACCCTCGAAAAATTAACCAAGATTTCCCCAACAGAAGATGAAATAGCCAAAATCCTTCAATTCAATGGGAACCCTGCGAAACTTGCTGATGCAGAGTCTTTCCTCTACCAGATATTGAAAGCCATTCCCTCAGCCTTTACTCGTTTGAACGCAATGCTATTTAGATCGACATATGATCCAGAGATTCTTCATTACAAGAAATCTCTGCAGACTCTAGAATTGGGATGCAAGGAATTAAGAACTCCCGGAATTTTCTTTATACTCCTTGAAGCCATTCTTAAGGCTGGTAATCGAATGAATGCTGGTACAGCCAGAGGAAATGCTCAAGGCTTCAACCTCAGTGCCCTACTAAAACTTTCTGATGTCAAAAGCACAAATGGAAAGACTACACTCCTTCAATTTGTAGTCGAGCAAGTGATCCATTCTGAGGGTAAACGTTGTTTAAATAATCAAAACAACAAAAACAGTGATACCGAACAAGATTCAGATAGCAAGATTTCTGAAGAAGAAAGAGATAAAGAGTACTTAATGCTAGGATTACCAGTTGTGTTAGGCTTAAGTACTGAATTAGCCAACGTCAAGAAATCAGCCACCATAGATCATGACAGTTTCATCAACATGTGTTCCATTCTTACAGCCAAAATCGATGACATCAAACGGCTCATAACCCGCTGCAAGGATCACGAACAGGGTCGATTCTTCGTCGAAATGAAAGGCTTTCTAGAAGATTGTGAAGAGGAACTAAATGTAGTAAAAGATGAACAATCAAGGGTAATGGAACTTGTGAAGAAAACAACAACGTATTATCAAGCAGGAGGTAATTCTAAAGACAAAGGCACAAATCCACTTCAATTATTTGTTATTGTGAAGAATTTCTTGAACATGGTTGATCAAGTTTGTGTCGATATATCAAAGAAACTGCAGAAGGAAAAACAGACAAGCGCAGGACCTCCACCGCCATTATCGCCTTTTTCAAGTTCCCCTGTTAGATTTCCTAGTTTACAGCCTTATTTTAGGACACAAAACACAGGAACATTTTCAAGTTATTCAGATGATGATTTTTGAGAAAGATTTAGACAGGATTTATGTAAAGTTTATTAGACAGGATTTATGTAAAGTTTATTAATTCTATATAGATTAGCGAATTTTGAAGATTTTAACCATCTTTTCGATAACTAATTGTTAACCTTCTGATCAAAAAGCTTAAGCTGCGATGATCATATTCATATGAAGCATTACAAAAAGTCTATGTCATTGAATCAAGTCAACAAGAAAGTTTTATTTAATAATTATTAAATCACAAGATATGAACAATGAGACTCCACTAAAAATACATTAAAATAGGGAGCAATGACCAATATTAACAATGATGTGATGTGATACAATTAACAAAGATTTGTTTTCTTTAGACTGCTACACGTCCACCATGCTTCTACAGCCCCTTACATAGGGGGGTTCACGAATTTTTTATTCATGGTGGGCCCCCTCACTATATGGCATGGTCTACAACCATCATTTCTCTAAAAAAATGTAGTGTTTTTGTGTTTCTTTTGAGTGGCTTATTAATTCAGTTGAGGTTAGTTTAAATTATATAACTTGTTTATGTGAGCTTGTTTAATTTTAATGGATTATTGAATTTAATTGTACGAATTGTTAAACATGATGTAGGCCTTTTTAAGAATGGAGTGCCGCTGACATTTCTAAAGAATAAGCTTATAATAAAAGTTATTACATATTTTGTTAAATCTTGATTGAATTGCTCAATATTTAGACAACAATAATTAACCTTTTAGGGTAATGGGAAGCAAGGGCATGTTTAAATTCACAATAAACAGCTTCAAACGGTATAATGGTTGCATCCCCTGGAAAAAAAAAAAGAAGACGTGTGTAGAAATGAACATAAACAAGAGAAATAAATGATTCAATGTTTTTTTCATTTCTATTTCCCATGTTCAGATAAAGAGTTTCATCGGCTGTGGCTCATCACCATTTCAATAACTCGATGAGCATGCCATTATCTCAAACATTCGGCACTGCAATTCAAACCAAAGAAAATATCAAGGCCGGAAAGAAATTTTCAATGTAGAACGAAACAAACCCGAGATGATAGTCTGCAAAAGAATTGAACACAACCTCACAAGGCAACGAAAACTATTTAAAATAGAATGACTATCAATTCTGCACAATTCAGAATGAAGATGCTGAAACTCGAACAAAACCACCAGGCATTTTTCTATCCTACGATCTATCGTGCTCAACTTTTCACGTCCCTAATGAAACCACGCAGAAATATTGAGCATTATCATAAAAGTCATCCAGTAAAGGTGAAGCTCTGAAAATGATGTAGAAGAGTAAAATGAACAAAAAGGGGAAAATTTTATCAAAAGATCTGAGGCCATCGTGTGGAGAATTCCATCACAATATTAGCGCATAGTTTATCAAATAGAAGTGCATAAACTAATAACAAGAAGAAAAGGAAAATGGTACTAAACCACAATTGGTGTATCCGCATTGTATACCACCCTATCTATTCACATAATAACATGTCTTCTACATCATAATGAGCACCACAGGAATGTGGACCAAAGATTATATAACACTATAATGGTTCTTCTTTGAATCAACATCTAATGTTGTGAAAATCATAGTCTCACCAGTAAGAACACACGCAAGTCACCCTGAGGAAAAGAAACACAAGGTCAAGGGAAACAGATAATCTTCCTACGACCTTGTTATCATGCTACATGAACGAGCCAGCTGAAAAGTCAAGCTGCCTCCACCCAATGTCGCCTCTCCCTCGACAGGACCAGTTTCGTATTGCTTCCTGCAGCCTGGACAGCGCCCATTCTCCTCAAGGATCCTTTTGTGACAGAAAAGGCAGAGCCTAAATCCACACAAACAAGGGAGAAAACTCAAATCTGTGAAATCAAAATCCTCATAGCATATTGGACACGAGGTAGGGACTGACCCAACATTCTTGCAGCGCCAAACAGAGCCTCTGCTGCAAACATGCCGCTCAGTATTCATGGGGAAACTACACTGCTCTGACAAATTGGGCAGGCTCTGAGGGCGACAAGCATCTTCAGGCCTCCAAGCCCAACAATTTACAGGTGCCTTGGGCACCACCGATACCCCAATCTCAGGCTTTGGCTTCGAACTAGCAGTCTTTGAAACTGTCCGGTTTGTTATTTCTGATTGAGATTCTGATTGGACACCACTTGCATGTTGACCTGGAGGAGGTGAATTTGATCTTGAGTTGACATTATTCTCATGTTGCTTTTGGTCGGTGGCAGCGAAGGCATCAGCCATAGCCTCCCAGTCATCAAAACACCCATCATCATCTTCCTCTCTCATGCTTTCGGAGCTACTGCTTCGGCTGCTGCTGCTGCTCCCAGTAAAATTGGCCCTGGAATCATTGCTACCCAAGATACTACTGATGCAGCTGGTGGGACTGTTCAAGGGTGATGACTCCGAATCACTGTCATGGTGGGTCAACATTCCATCTTCGTATTTATCCTCCTTGACTTCCGGACTTACCGCCAATTTATCTATTGGAGGGACACTTTCATTCTCCAAATGCACTGATGGAGGGCCATTCATCCCCTCTCTGACAATGAATTCGCCATTACAGCCACCCTTATTCTTCACTAAAAATAAGGATTCCCGTCACTAAACATTACCAAATAATTCAAAATTGAATATTTAATTCAATCTCGTGCAGATGAATGGGCACATGAGAATATTTGGCAGCTAAAATTATAATTTACGCACTTCAAACATAGTTCTTATCCACGTACTTTTTAGGACCCATATCTTACTTACCACGTATTATAATGTATCATCCAAAACTTATAAGTTTAAACAGAAAAATTAAATAAAACATTTAAAACCTCACATAATCACATGCATTGGTATATAAAATAGGTTGAGATCTTTCAAACACCTTGAGAAAGCCACTGCTCCCGGCGAGCATCAAGCTTGTACTGCTTCAATTTTGCCAACCGATTTGCCTAATAAATCCAACAAAAAGTGAATTTAAATACACTCAACTACATATAATTAACAGATAAAAAAAAAAAAGAAGAAACCAAATTCCACGAAAATAACAACAAATTTAAAAACCATAAAAGCATAATTATGTTCAATCTATTGCATTGAAGTTTTAATTATACATTAAACCCAAAAATTTACTCAAACAAGTTTTAAGGTTTTCTCTAAAAAAAACTTGTCAAAAACAAACACAGACATCCGTACGTATACATTTCACATAAAAATATATGAAAAAAAAATAAGAAATCAAATTAATACCTTTTTTTTCTTGGCGAAATCTTTGGGGTTAGAGGATGTCATGGGGATTGAAGCGTTGTTATTCGAATCAGAAATCATGGCTGAGTCAACTCGTTCAAGAATCTGAAAACCCTAAATTTATCGTAGATATACAGAGAGAAAGAAGATAGATATACAGAGACAGAAATGTGGATAAAACATAAAAGAAGCCTTTCGATGATTTTTCCTTTGCTTTGATGAAAAATATCGTTCTCGAGCAGAACACTGCTATATATAAGAACCATGTGACCAGTTTGCCCCTCCATTTCACCGTATTTTCATGTGGCACCAACTGGGTGAACGAAAATTATGGGAATTTTCGGGTATATTTATGACGAGATGAAAAAATCTATTTTTATACCACAGCCTATGATGGATAGTTATAATTTAGCAAAAATGTGAAAAGACTGTAATCTTTACGCCAACCACTATCTAAACGACACGTGTTAGGTTGGATTTCTTGTTTGTGATGATTACGTAAAGTTGTAGTTAAGGTTTTTAGACAGAAAATTGTATCATCCTCTCTTAATAGAAGCTTGCAAAAATTGTAACGTTAATGTTTGTTTGCCATAAAGTTATTAGTCCAAGTATAAAATTATTTTATTGAAATAATGCTCGATCAAACTGTGTCAAACAAATAATAAGTTGACCAAACATATCATTTTATCCACACGTTTCGTAAAACCCACAACGTTACCTGTTTAAGGCAAAGCAAGGCGGGGAGGGACGGGACGGGACCCCATTTACTACCCCCATTTAATTTTTTTAAAATTTTTTATTATTCATTTTTTCCTATTTATTATAGTGTGACAATAATATATTTTTTAATCTTTATTTATTTTTAAAAATTAAATTATTCAAATATATTTGGTAAACTAAGACTTTTATTATTTGTCACATTTTTTAGATAATTTTAGTTGTCATTTTCTATTAGAACTAATAAAATTTAGTAAAATTTTCAATTTAAAGTATTGAATTCTAAAAAAAAGTTAAATGGGACAGAGCACCCGTTACATGTACTCTCAACTAGAATATCCGATTAAGTGGGTAATCTCAGTCCCGTTCGGGGCGGGGCGTCAAGGATATAGAGTTTGTCGGATTTTTTTATCATCCCTACCCACAACTTATTATCTAGTATTTACTTATTATCGAGGTATTTTATAAGATCTACAGCTTATAGATAATTAAGCACTTACAAAAAATACCAAAAAAAATGTAGATAGATTGTGGGAGATATGGTCTGATTTAAGTTTGATTCTGAAAACAATACAACAACGAGTATTATATATATGCAGATGCACAACGATTGAATAGAATGGACCAATTCTATAAACTGTTAAGTAAATTTCTTTTGTTGATTAATCTCAATATATACTAATTCATGCAATTTTTTATAAATAAATTTAATATTTGATTTAATTGAATATTGAACCAAAAAAAAAAAAAAAAAAAAATTCTTTGTTCTAAAACACATTATTAAATTTTAAATAAAAGTCGAACAACGTTGAACTAGTTAATGTGGTTTACTTCGAATGATTTCATGTAAAAATGCTCATTAAGGATTTCGAGTTCTTCGAGTTTTGATTGATAATAGGAAGATGAATTTGAGTTAAGATCTGTTGTCCAATTTTTATTATTCAATGTGTTATCCACTCAATTAATTATTGACACATCATTTTTAACTTAACATGTCATTTCAAATTTACCCTCATTAATTTCATACTAACTCACCAAATTGA